TCCCTGTTTTTTCCCAGGGAACTGGCCAGATATCCAGGGAAAGAAGAGGTGAACTAGTGATTACCCGCCTTAGAGAGCCGAAAGCCTTAACCCAAGCCTTTCCAACTTAGAGTTTTAACTTTCCTTACATGACCTGAGAATAAACCTATGACATTTAGAAATCACTGATGGAAGCTTTAACATCGTGCATGTCAAGCCTGCTAACCTAGAAGAGCTGACGGAAGTCACCACCGCTGCCGAATTCCACCCACACCAGTGCAATGTGTTTATCTACAGCAGCAGCAAAGGGACCACCCGGCCATGTGACATGCGTTTCTCTGCCCTGAGTAACAAACACTCTAAATTTTTTGAAGAGCCTGCAGATCCCACCAGTAGGTCCTTTTACTCAGAAATGATTTCACCCATCTCTGATGTCAAATTCAGCCACAGTGGTTGATACATGATGACGAGAGACTACCTGTCAGTGAAGGGAAGGTGTGGGACCTCAACATGAGAGCAGGCCTGTGGAGACCCATCAGGGGCACGAGTACCGATGAAGCAAGCTGAGCTCCCCGTATGGAATGACTGCATCTCTGACAAGTTTGAGTGCTGCTGGAATGGTTCAGACAGCGCCATTATGATGGGATCCTACAACAACTTCTTCAGAATGTGTGACAGAAACAGTCGGAGGGATGTTACACTGGAAGCTTCAAGAGAGAACAGCGACCCCCGAGCCACCTTAAAACCCCGGCAAGTATGTACAGGTGGTAAAAGAAAGAAGGATGAGATTAGTGTGGACAGTCTGGACCTCAGTAAGATCCTTCACACAGCCTGGAACCCCATAGAGAACACTATTGCTGTAGCTGCCACCAATAAGTTGTATATATTCCAGGACAAAATCGACTAAAGAAGCTAACTGGAAGACCAAGTCTTGTCTCGCATAGCTAAGCTGGTCATTTTTCTGTCAAAGAAAAGGCATTGTCCTCTCTACTAAGAACAGAGACACACTTCTTACTTCCCTTCAGGACAGAGGAAAGCAGCCACCTTGGCTGGAATCCTGGCATTGCTCTGTCCTTAGCCCAGGGAGAGACGCTCGTTGCTGCAAGGGGAAAACCCACTCGAAGCAGAATTGATGGACACTGCTCAATAAAGGCCATTACTCAAAATAAATGTATTTATTTAAGTCTGAGCCTTCCTTTCAAGTTTATAGACAAAAAACTAACTCCAAGAGAAAAGGTGTTGTCAGATACGTTTCTGTCTCCAGCTTTATCTTTCTCTGCCATCCTAGGGCCTTCATCTGGACATGGCATGGCCACCGCCCACATTCCTTGCTGGCCTTTCTGAGCCGAGTGGGCATACCTACCCTTGGTGTGTGGCTGCTGCCCAAGGACAGCCCGGCAGCTTCACTCACGAATTCCATCGATCATCACACATTCTGGTGTAACCACTCAATAAACAACACACCATAAAGTGTTCTTAAATCTAAACACAGGGGTCGTCTTTTTATTTGTCTCAACTGCATATAATGAAATTATGCAAAATTCTTTGGAATAATTTGAGAGACTTTTGTCCTTTGGCAGAAGGGTGGACTGTGTATAGTACTTCAAATTCTAAATATAAGTATCTCCAAACTGCCATACCTTTGTTTTGTTTCTTAGAAATAGTCCATCTGTTGTACCAGGTAAGGACTGGGGAAAGCCATAACTGACTCCACCTCCAAGAAGAAACTACAAGAGCAATGAAATTGCTGCTATAAAATTAAAACCTGGCTTAAAGTAGGCCTCAAATTCACTACAATTGAAAACTTATGTGCTTTCTTTTTAAATATTTTTAAAAAGTACTTTGGGAGGGAATTGTACTTTTTAAATATTGCTAAAATTATGTGCATGCTAAATTTCATATTGCATTTCAAGCCAG